GAGGTAGAGGGCGAGGTAGAGGGCGAGGTAGAGGGCGAGGTAGAGGGCGAGGTAGAGGGCGAGGTAGAGGGCGAGGCGAATACAATCCTGATACCGAGCGCCAGTAGCAGTGAGGAGAGGGTTTAAATAGTTGTAGGGAAAGGGTGTGGAATGAAGATTGATTAATTTGGAGCTAATTGGTGCTGACTGTGCTTGTAACACTTGGATGCTGGCATTTCTCTCTTGACCATCCTAGTGCGGGCATATATATCCACAAACTGAATGATGCTTCAGGGACAGTTTCGTCCCTCCAAGACAACACCCCTAGTGGCATCATAGGTATTTGAGTTTCTTGTTTTCTGAGGATAGCCAACCTGCCCAGTAGAATATGAAATGCATCGATTTACTTTTTCCATCAGTATAGTAGAATTCTGGATATGTCCTCTTGTATATCATGCCAAAATCAAAACATTTTAAACAGAATGCAAAATTTTAAAAAAAGGCATTATGATGTATGTAATCAGCCAAAACTGACAGTAAATGCACCATCAAAGCATGCTCTAAAGCCATTTTTATTAGATTTTTATTTTTTCTTCATTAAATATAAATAAAAAGGGACAAAAATAAAGAAATGATTTATCAACATAATATTACGTAATATAAAATTGAAAGGGCAGCATTAGTGTGGCTCTTATTGTTGCTGCCTCTAAGGGTTCCCTTCTGGACTGGGCCCCGTCAGGGTGGAGTGTTCATGTTGTCTTCATGTTAGAGTGGGTTTTTGTTTGTTTTTGCTCCACTTTCCTCCCATCTTCCAAACGCATGCTGACTAGGTTAAACAGTATCTCTAAAATGGGTCTGTATGTGCCCCATAATGTAATGACATCCCATTCAACTTTGTGTTCAGTTCCTGGCATCTCCCAAGAGTTGTTTTTGCCCATTCTTCAGTACATGCAACTTTGAGTTTTAGAGTAGAAATATATTGTGAAACATCCAGTCACTTATGAACACAAAGTATCTAAAGATAAAAGTCAATGCTTTGAAATCTTTTGAAAATTAAAGTGAATCTGAATAAATGTACTCACTGAAATGTAAGTCAAATGCTTTTAAGGTCGTTTATACTTCTGCTAATTTTCTTTTAAATTACAACTTCAATCAGACCGGGTGAAACTAGATAATTTCTAGTGTAGAGTAACAGAACCTTCTAAAAGGCTTAAAAGCTGAGTTTGCCTAGAAAGTAATCTGGTTAGCTACAGAGCAAATTGAGACAAAAGAAAATATAACTATTTTAGAATCATGTATAAAACTATACTGATTCACAATGAAAACGCGACAAACTAAGTTTTACATTAACACCTCACTGTGCTGATACTCAATATTATTTACTTTTTATATTCAGGTTGAATTGTTAATTGTTTGTAATTCTGGGTATAATAACATACTTTACATTACTTTCCTCAGTCATTTCATAAAAAGATATGCAGCGGGTGGTATGTGAGTTTAGTTAAAATTGCAAACTTAATTATTGTCACGACCACCAGGCAGTCAAGACCAAATCGTAAGCGAGCTAATCAGCCCCAGCAGCGGGTGATTATTAACAAACGCCGCCGCACAAGTTAAACCACCTGCGCACACTCACTGTGCGGTGCGCACTGCTATTTAAACCATCTTCACCTGCTTCCCACTGCTCGGTATTGAGTCTACTCCTTGAGAGCTCTACCTGGCGGTTTTCCCCGTACCTCGTTTATTCTGGATTTTGGATTCCCCTTCTGCCTTTTCGATTTTGCACCTCGCCTCTCGCCTCGGACTGTCTGCTACCGGAGAACTTCCTGGATTAGGACTTGCCTTTCGCCTTTTGACTACGACCTTGCCTCTCGTTTTGGTTTGTTCACCTGCCTCATCTATCACCCGTGCCTGCGTCTGCACAGGATCCGTGTATCTTCCCACCAGGGATTCCTAACAATCGGGAACAAATGATAATTTACACAAAAAAAGAGAAAACCATAATTATATCACACTTGTGTAATTAGAATAATGACTGGTTATTATTGGTATGAATGAAGACAGACGGAATGTGAAATCGCCTGGAGAATGAGATGTTTAGCTCTGTGATGGACAGTTCACATTCTGGGAGGCAATGGGTTACCTCATTCATAGTGGTAATA